GGCCAACCAAATGTCAATGTTGTTTTGGGGCAGAAATTTCTTGTCACTTTTAAACTGGCTAGGTATTTGGAAAGTTAGATTCCTCTAAAGCACATCCCACATGTTCAAATAAAATTTTTTATTTATTGCTTTGGTTTATATACTCCCCCATAGTGCTAGAGTACTCTCTGGGTGGTTTACAACATAATTATACAAAGAGCAGTTTGCTCCCCCAGTGAGCTGGGTACTCAAGTAAGACAACTTGACTTTCTCTACAGGTTACACCAAGATGGCTAACTTTATCAAGGTACAGTATTTAAAACAAACACAAGATTTTGAAATGCATTTCTGGGAACAAATTCTGCATGAATGTGCAATCACACAATTATCGATATTTCAGAGCACAACGGCCAAAATCCTGTTGCTTAGTATTGCAAAACTGCACTACAGCAGGCCAACAGAATCAATGGGGATTTGGTAAGTCAATTCCTCTATAAGTTCCACTGATTCAAACAGGCCTTCTCTAACTGACTTACTTTAACATTGCAAGCTGCAGTTCAAGTAGGCCCATTTCAACCAATAGAACTTAGGAGTTGGCTCACTAACTCCCCATTGATTCAATGGACTAATGCTATCACTGTAAGCAACAGGATTTGGGGCAATCTGTTGGACTTTAAAAAAAATACAGAGTTTGATGAAAATCTCAGCAAAGAATTTTAACATGCATTTAAACTGTGCACTGTTTATTTTGTTGCTTTTTAAAAATCAGTATAGTGATATCACACTTTAAATTCTGCAACAATGCAACTTTTACCCCCTTTATCCAGCAGCAGCTCATGTATTTCATTTATATACTGCCCTATTAATGCAATTCACTATTACAGACCATAAACAAATAGGCCATAAATATAAACTACAATAAAATGGTAAAGTAAGGCAAATTAATTAGAGCAAATTAAATCAGTCATCAATGTTATCTATGCTTAAAGACCAATCACAATGACATCTAAAGTTTGCAACTCTCATTCTTTATGAGTCACCTCAATGCAGAGCTTGAATTTCCAAGTAAAATACTAGTCTCACTGCTGGCTGATAAGATTATTTACTTGCATTGGACCACGTACACCATCAGGTGTGAAACTATCGCTTGCACATAATGCTATATAGACACAGAGCATAGTTTCAAAATGTGTGTACAACTGTGTATGTGTTGTTCTGCATATTGAAGAAGGAAGAAATCTATTGCACAAAGCAACCCCTTCTGCTGCAATTCAAATGATCACTCAAACCATGATCTAATATTATAGGAACAAGCCCTGTGCTGGAAGGTTCTTTTGTACACTGCCATTTCCTCTCTTCCAGATTTCTGACAAGGCAGTTTGCTGATGTATCTGAACAGACTTACTCTATAAACCAGGTTTTTGTACTGTGAGATGGAACGAGGTGGTGTACAAGTACAAGGTTCCTTCTAGGTTTGTTCAAGCAGTACCCAAAGGTTTGGCATTATATCTGAGCTTACCCTGTGCTGCTGAGTCACAGGAACCCTTAAACAAGAGATACAGAGCTGCTAGTCACAATAACAAATCCTTTCTGTACAATACTAAATACAAATAGACTGAGAAACATCTCTCTCTTTAGACAGGTCACACAGACTACTACTACTAGCGTTTCAATATAACAAATACCAACCACAAGAATAAGAAGGAAGAACTCTATAGCATTTTCCTGCTCAGCTGCAACATGTTCTAAGTGAGAATGGTGAATATGTGGCTTTCCAAGTGTTGCTGATGGACTGCTATCTCCATCAGTTCCAGTGAGTATATTTAATGGTGGAGGATAATGGAAGCTCCAGTCCAGCAATACAGTTTTTGGAGGGTCACTTGTTTACAATCCTTATTGTCTAGAAATCCATCCAAAAAGCCTAAAATCTGTTTTTATTCTTGTAAAGATACAAAAGAACAAACATTTTTATGGACTGCCTTGGGCTGAACAGTTCTACAATTATTTCCATTAATTTTCCAACAGCAACACCACTAACAGTCTAGTCCAGGGGGCTCCAAACTATGGCCCGTTTAAGTGTACAGATTATTACAACCTACCACCTAATGCATTTAATATTTTAGAGCAAATACAAGGTTTTGTAAAAAGCCTCCTAACAAACATATGGGGAATATCTTTGTTTCCCTTGAAATGACAACAATGAAAAAGGATTCAGTGCATTTTAGCAACAATGTTAAGTGTTACATATTTAACACAAGTTAAGTCTGATCCCTCACAAAGTACTGTAAACCATTTTCCTCCTGAACAGTCAAGCTGTGTATTCTAGTCACAAAGTCATTCAGCAACTCACTCCAATTTCGGGTTTATTTTATTTATCAGAATTATCACTTCTCTTTTACAAAACTGCTGCGTGCACCCACAGCCACGGTCACATTGTTACAATGACAACATTTTTTAAAAAATGTATTTGCCCCTTCGTTTAGCAGGAGTGCTCTGTACTGCCCAGCTCAAAAACTTTCTAATCCTTTTAGTCTCAATAAAAAGTGTTCCCCACGGATAATAACATCCAAAAGAAAACAAATACAGGGTACTTCAAGGAACAACAAGTAGAACTGTGTATGTGCAACAAGCTGTTATCAGGCTGTAGCAAACACTAATTATCACATTAATATTTTCCCAGACCACTATTTGAGTGAGCCAACCAAAGAGATTCACATTGGAGTAAACCCATCCCAGAAGAATTGTGCACCTTTGCAGGATTTTGGAAAGAAAGAGAGAAAAACCTTCCTCACTATAAATTCAGAGACGATAAAACTATTTTGGAACTTAGAATTATGACCACATGGCCAAATACCCCATTTATAAAACAGGTGAATTTGAAGTATTTTTGCTGACTGTATTAGAATTAGTCCAGCCCTTTTTGCTCCCAAAGTGGCTTCTCTTTTTTTGCTACTGGGGAGTTTCTACTTTTTCAAACACAAATTATCTGAACGGCTTTTTCCTGTGCAGTTAATTGTGATACATTCTTGTAAAGACAGACTGTGTGTCTTTGGTGGTGGTTTTGGGTGTGATGTTCAGGTCGGGAGAAGGGCCATGCAAAAGCAAAATACTGATTTTAATGTGAGGGATTGGATGCTAGTCCTGTATTCTGTCAACCACTGCAAGCTTCAATTCGCATACAAAAGCCCTTCGGTTGTAAAGCAACATTTACTGTTGTTAATAACTTAATTGACAGGTCTGAAAGTGGTCCCACCTCTGCTGATCCTTTTATGGTTTGCTTTGAAACCACGTTCTCATTTAAAACTTCAGACTACTATATTTCTCAAAACCTTTCTATAGAAAAATAACAGGAAGGTACTTCACAGTCTAAGTGTACAGAATGTCAAAAGTCTGAACAGTAGTATTGCAAAGTATATCATGATTCACATATCAAAATGATTATGCCAGGGATCACCACCTTTCCCTTCTCATCTGTTACTCTTTCCCCTTACTTCTGAAGAACACATACAGGAATTCCCTCATCTCTGGTCAGAGTTTACCATGTCAGTAGTTTAAAACCATACATGAACAGAGATGAGGTAATCTCTCTATATGTTATTTGAATGTAAGGGGGGGGGAAGTAACAGATGGGAAGACGGTGATCCCTGCTATGGAAACATTCTGATGCATTTCACAAGATTACTGTTGAAATGTTTGATACTCTGTACTCTTAGACTGGGAAGTGCCTTTCCATGTTACTTTTCTACAGAAAGGTTTTTGAGACATGCAGTAGCCTGAAATTTTAAATGAGAAAGCAGTTTCACAACAAACCATTAAAGGATCAGCAGAGGTAGGACCAGAGGAAGGAAGGAAAGAAAGGGGACTGTGGGCTGGAATTGCATCAATTGCAACAGCATTCAGTAGTGAATTCCTGAATCAATTTGTAGCCCTTGTGTGAACACTGATTGCTATTTCAAACACAATAAAAGCTGTGAATAAACTGCAGCAAAACTGCATCATTCCAATGTGGCTTTCCAGTGTAGTCTCGCCCTTAGTCTATTTTCGTGGACTAAGGCCTGAAGCTACAATTAGGGTACATAGAAAATAAGATAGCACAAAAGAGATCCGGGCATTAGAGATCCAAAAGGCAGAGAAAACATGTTCGTATTAAAAAATACTATTTTAACTATTTAAACACTCCTCCCACAATGATAATCGTAACAACAGAACTCCCAATTTTCAAGTGACATCTCATGTACATAAAGCTTATTTTATACTGAAAAGGACTCCATGTTTTCAAAAGAAAACAAATGTGAAGCTTGGTTGCAACACCACTCAGGGTGGCCAGTTCAAGGGCATGCTTTTCTGAAACAAAACAATAAAAAGAATGTGATATATAAGTATGGAAACAATTTATTTTTTAAAACCAGTATGCTCTGCAATCTAATACAAGACCCATGGAGATAACAGGTTGTTATTCACCTCCAGTTATATCTTTTCTCTTGGCTCTGGTCAGCTTTAAACGGCATCCACCTGTCAAACACACATTTCCATGAAGTTCCCAAAGCTGCTTTAAACCACCACCACTAACCTTCTCAGCTACCCTTTCTTGACCTCTGCCCCCTCTAGGCTTCACAATAAATTCCTCCCATTTGGGCTGGAAAAATCTTCTGTTATCCAACAGCATGACTATCATCTCTCCACATTACAGAGCCTCATATAAGATATTCCTATAGCCTGAAGACCGCAAACTTTCTTCCTATTTACTTTAGAGCTTTAGCCTTACTGAATTCAGTGTGACTTCCATGTGAATAACAATGCATCCAAACAGGCTACACCTGTTGCACAAAAGGGAAATGCCCTCAAGCACACGCCTTTTTTTCGCGGTTCAGGGATGTATAAAAGATGCCCAGCTGGTACAAGTTCCCCTTCTATGGAGCATCCCTAAAGACACAGCCGGCGGCTCCTGACTTGGGAGGCAGCCACGAGCGAGCGGACGCTGAGCATCCCCGCCACGCCCACACAAGCCCCAAGTTCCTTACCAGCCTGCAGGGCGACACCCCCACCAGTAGGGGCGCTATCCACGGACAAAGGGGCGGGCTGTTGCTGAGGCGGCTCCTCGCCGGTAGGCCCACTGCTCGCGACGGGGAAGCCCGCAGGGCCCTGGAAGTATGTGATGTCGCGGAAAAATTTCTTCGTCTCCCTGAGGTTGTGCTGCAGCCGCGCCAGGTGTCGGTTGTAGTGGCCGAAGGCGCGGCACAGTTCTCGGTTCAACCCCCCACCGCCGGCGGAGCCCCGGGCCGAGGGTGGCCCGGACATCTCGGCCTCCGGGATCTCCGTCCCAGAGTCCTCTTCCCACCACGGCGGGGACTCTGAGGCAGCCAGGCTGCTGTCGCCCCTCTGCCCCCAGGATCGGCCTCCTGGTCCCCTGTCAGCAGCGTCGCACCAAGCCGCACTGCGTACGGAACGGAACCTTTATCCGGGCGCTCTGGCAGGGAGGGGAGGCGGCCAGGGGCGGACCCCATTCAGCTCCCTCGGTCGCTTGGCACTATGGGGAATGTAGTCCCGGTGCAAGGAGCCGGGGCTTTCCCCCATCTCGTGGAGCGGCAGCGATAAAATCCCTTTAAATGGGGGGAGGGGAGCGAGGGCAGGCAGGCGGAAACATATCAAGCATTCGCGCTGGGATTTGTAGTCTTTTTGCCGGAGGCATCTAATTGCCATCTCCGGATTTCCATTGGGTGAGATTTCAGTTCAGAATGACGAAGGGAGCCGGCCTTGAAATAAATGCGGAAGGGATGAATTTTGCAACATGGGATACGAATGTTTAAAAGCATGAGGTAGCTAAGGTTACGAGAAGCTGTTGCTGAGGAAGGAAGCTGCACTTGGCTTGTTATGATGGACGATAATTTTCTTCAAAAATAAAACACGATGAAAAGTAATATTCGTTCTTTCCAACCTCATCCTGTAAGGCAGTCGAAGTGATCACTCTCGGCATGCACAACAAAACATTGTTTTGGTATCTTTAATTTATGTGTTCAGTGGGCTAAATAAAGATTTATATTTTGTTGCAAGACTGTACCAAAAATCTCTGTACGTGAAAATAAACCAATTTAATGTGGCTTGGTCCCAGGTAAGTGTATATAGATTGTGATTGTCTCTGTCTGAATTTCCACTGTAAGGATATAGCTTTTATCAGAGATAGATTAATATGTTGTTTCCTTTCTATTATTATTTTAGTTCTGCAGGATCAGCTGTTTTTCTGTTTTCCAGGCTATCTGTGCCACTATGAAAGCTTGCCATTTTTCTTCCATCTCTTGAAGTTCTTAAACAAAATGCCTTCTCCTTCTGTCTTCTCTTCTTTGGTCAAACTAGGAACAATTTTTCCTATTTAATTCAAACTGACACGTCTCAAGCACACCTGTGTCTTATTTTTAAAAATTACTTTTTAAGAATAACCCTACCATCCCATTATTGAACTAACGAATCTGGTAGGGCCACTTAAAAGCTATTAAAGGAAGTTGACTGGGTACAATAAATTGCTTTCACACAAATTTCTTACTTCCTCCTAAATTATAGAACTGGGTTAAATCCAAAAGAACAATGAGAGAAAAGGGGAAGTGTAAACAGTTGTCTTGCACATTAAAAAATGCCTGAAGTGCAGCAGTGTGAATGTTTGCCAAAGCAAACATCTTTTTGTTGTGTCCCACCTGGACTAATCTATGACCCAGAAACTGAGTGTTTGAGGAGACAAAAGTTTTAAATAAAAGCTAACTAAAGTTACAATGATTGACTTTTAACACAATGTTTTGATTCTCAGAATTTCTAGTGAAAGCATTTGTGTTGTTTATACTGTAGCGGTTTTTGATGGAAAGTATGGGCTCCTCATCTGGAAACGCAATTAAACCTGTTTCCATTTGTAGAAAGGATGTTATACAATTGTGGTATTCAGATACTGGAACATGTTCTACCTGTGGGATGCAGTAATGTACGGTAGGTGGGGCTCAAGAAAAAGATAATTTGCTTTTGCAAGTAGTGGAACTGCCATACTCTGTAATCTTTTTAAATTTATTTATGGTATTTTACCATATTATATTATAAAGTTGTGCTATCACAGGTTGTTATTGATTATCATTTGTTGTTACAACTCATGTCCAAATGAATAAATTGATTAACTGATTCTCAAAATGATTAAAATTTTTATTGTATTCCCAAAGGTAAAAATCCCAAGAGTGTAATAATATGTACAGATTATCATTTCAAGCAAATAAGGAAATAAACTGAAAGCACTTATCCATGAAAGATGATTTATGCTTATTCTTCATATGCAAATTAGCCTTTCTGGACTCATAATTTGACACAGTTTTATTTGCCTTCTTAATTCACACTTGAGGCAACTGAGAGATGTTCCCCCTTCTCCAGGTACTTACAAAAACCACAAAACAGCTGAAGGACGTAAGGTGGTTGCAGGGAAAAGAAGAGACCAAGCCATTATATTTCCATATAACAAAAATCTGAATGTCAAGAGAAGTAATGAACAGAGTTTGCATAGAAAGTCCAGAACTAATAAATGTAGCATTTTTCTTGCACCTATATCACATGCAGTTCTTAGATATGTTTAAGTGTAGATTTAGCTAGTATTTTTAATTATTTTAAGCAATAGCAGCAGCACAGTCATTAAGACAAACTATGAAAAACTGCAGTGTTATTAACATACAATATTTTTGAATTGAGAAAGTTAATTCTGTTCCCTGTGTATTCACATTCAGAACAGTGTTACTGAGATACCACCAAAACTATCTGCTTAGAATCATGCCTACTTTCCTGTTAACAGATTTCTCTCTTAGAAAATGCCTTAAAATTAAACATGGCCTTTATTCCATTTTTAATGACCTTCTCCAATGCCTCTTGGCTGTTATGAACTCAGCTAGCTGAAAGAATGGTTTGTGTTACCCAGACCATTATATTATATTTTTGTATGAGAGGTCATTTTTCTTCCTTTTTTTTTCCTTGCAGAAACATGCCATTTAACTGGAATATCTCATTTCCCTCAATTTTCTAGTCATAAGAGCAGCTGAGTTAAGTGCTGCAAACAATTCACACAAATAGAAAAATAGGCTTGATTATTTCAGTGTGACTTGCCCTCTAGTATACACAGCTGCTCCTTCAAGTATTGCTGCTTTTGGAAATATTTAACTGAACTGTTTTAAATATATATTAGCAGGTATGAGAAGTCTTTACTGAAGAAGGAAAATTTGTGTGTTCCCTATTTATGGGAAAGTAATAGCCAAAATCCTATTAAAAACCTTCTATTTAAGAACAATTATGCAAGTGGTTTTTGTATTCCAGGATAGGGGGATTATACATTTGGTTGCACAGCCAACTGCACAATAAGAGGAAGACTGAGTGCATGATGTACATCCCAGAAACGAACTTCCCATCTCTTGTACATTTGCCCTTATGCTATCACATACAATAGGAGTCTGGCAAATGAGTCTTATTACTTGATACAACAAGAGAGTGCACATTGCCCCATAGAAAGCTTTTTATATATCTTCCAGTCTGCCCACCTAATAGATGCACGACCACCTTTCACTTTACAAATGTTGGCTGGGACTTCATGCTATGCTATACTTATTTTTAATGTACCACCACTAGCCTCCCCCCCATAAAACATCTATAGGTGTTCCCCTTGGCCATAAAAATACTCATCAAACATAAAGTTAAATATACTCTGTGAAGCCTGTTTCTGTGTTAAGAAAAGTAACAGAAGATGCTTATTCGGTGTACTGGCACAGACAAAAATTCGAGCAAACTTGAGAATCCTGAGGCTAAAATTATATCAAACTAGACATTCAGCTATTGTAAGTGTGGTGGTATGTATAGGCTTAATTGGTTTTAAGATTAGGTTAAACAACTTCAGAGAAAATGGATCGATCAACATCTGTTCACCATGGTAGCTAAATAATAGTTTCATGTTAGCATGTCAGTTCTGGGAGCTGTTGGGGTGGCAGGGCAGAGAGAGAGCACAAAATGCCTTTTAATGTAATAATGTGTGACATCAAGTCAATTCTGACTTACGGCAACACTTTCCAGGGTTTTTCTTCGTAGAGAATACTCAGAAGTGGCTTACCATTTTTTCCAGGGTTTTTCTTCGTAGGGAATACTCAGAAGTTGCTTACCATTCCCTTCTTCTGAGGGCGTTCTGCGAGTTGAGAGTTTGCTCAAGGCCATACAGGCTGGCTCTTATGAGACTCACTATGGGGACCAAACTCACAATCTCTGGCTCCGCAGCCAGATACCAAACGAGACTCACTATGGGGACCAAACTCACAACAATCTCTGGCTCCGCAGCCATATACCAAACTTATTGAGCTATCCAACCATGGTCTTATATTACACCAGATGGATTGCTGACCTGATTCAGCAGATTTTCTGTTATATTCTTATAATATTCGACAAGATCCTGTATGGGTAACTTAATGCTGACATAACCTGGACTGGACACCAGAAACTTTTAATTTAAAGGAAGTTTGCTATACCCTTTTTCAGGTTCTGAGGCTCCCTTGGGCTCCTTTTCACCCTGAGGAAGCCTTTGGGAGCCTCAGGAGTGAGTGGGTGTGTGGTTATTTTAAAACTTATCAAAGGCTTCTCACCCCATGTCCCGAGGCTCCCAGAGACTTCCACAGGGTGGGGAGCCCTAGGGAGCATTGGAACCTGAAACAGGGAAAAGTAAGCAAGTTCATATAAGTTAATTAATTGTTTCCTGTGCCTGATTTGGGTTATGCTGTTGTGAAAGTTACACAGCAGGGTTTTGCCCATCACTGTCTAAATCCATTTGATATGTTCTGCTCATAGAATTGCTACATCAGACATTTTGTAACTGTTCTGTTTTAACTGGAAGATGAGTCGTGGTAATAGGACTTCTTTCTTGTTAGGATGAAATGTTTTGCAACTAATCCAAGTAGTTTCTTCAGTCTGCAGAGAGTTGGTAAGAGATCCCTGATATATCTTCCATGCTAGTTTTACTTCCCCCTGGTCTGAATAAACTCATTCGAAGGACAAAGAACGGGTGGGGTGGGGGTGGAGAAGGACTGCAGAAATGGGATTATCCCTCACCCCAGCCTTTGTCCCTCTAACGAGCCTATTCAGACCAGGGGGAATTGAAACCAATATGGAGGCTATATTGGGGATCTTCTACCAACTCTCAGACTGAAAAAGCTACTTGGATGAGTAGTGAAACATTTCTACCTAACAAGAAAGAAATCCAGTTGCCATTACTCAAATTCCACCTGGATGATTGAAAATCTTCATAGATCTATTCTACATTAACTTTCCTGTCTCCATGCATATCAACCAGATCAGTCTAAGGCAGGAAGCTTAGAAGGCTATTTTTAAGGGAAAAAATCTTATTTTTTAAGAATTGACATGGTGTCATCCAGAATATTATTCTATCAGTGCTCAGTTGTGAATATCTTCTGCATATTCTAGTACTCATTCATAGTAAAATGACTCTCCTAGTGCTGCTCCAAACAAACAAGGAGAAATATTGGAGAAATATTGACTTTCAAAGTGGACTGACACTGATCTGTACCCAGCACTGGACAGTCCAACATAAGGGGTGTGTGCACATGCAGTCTCCTCCCTATTACAGGTGCCATAGAAACCTGTTGTAGAGAGTTGGGAAATCATGTGTAGCATGTTTTCAAGAGCTGCTGGGAGGAGGGGATGAAAATGTTAGCACTTTCACAAGTAACTAATTGGATTTATGTAATTGTCTTTTGCCAGGCTCTTCCCTTGCACTGTGCCTTCTTCATGAGATGGTAGAAAATGCCACCACTCATTACAGTGCACTTGGCTTGTGCGCCTAGGATAAATTCAGGTACCCTACATCTTAATCTTTGGAAGGCTGTTTATACAACCAAGTTTCAGTGGTTATCTCAGAGTTGTTTCAGGGTTGTCATTTAGAGACAACAGTCCCTGACTACGCCACCATGGAATTCACTAAAGCTGTTTATAGGTCACTTTTTCTTTACGGTTTATTTGTAGACAATGCACTCCACACCCACAAGAGATAAACCCTGTCATTGCCTCGGTGTTTATTTAGACAAAAGCCATAAGTCAATTTGCTAGAATATGGGGACTTTTTTTTCCAGCTCACTTTATTCTCTTATTCACTCCATAAACATTTAAAAACCAGATGCTGAAGCAAGTGCAGAGATTTATAGCCCAAGATAACAGGTTGTCTTGGTAACTAATTGGTAGCTTAAGATAACAGGTCCTTCCTTTGTTGGACCAAGGTCTTACATTGCTTCTGACTTCTCTGTTCATATGTAGAACTCTGTTCAGAATTAAGGAGTTAGTATAAGAAAGTTAAGTACACTAGCTGTATTTTCTATCCCACCTATTCTCTTTTACTGTGCTTCTTAAGGAAATGGTGTGGCAAAGCATGACAACATAAATAATTGAAACATTGTACCTAATCAGAGCATGCTCAGTGCAGCTATATTTTAGGTTGTGCAGAAGTCAAGTCTAGATCTATTGGGAGATCTCTTGATACAGATCAATAAGGATTTCTAATTCCCAATCATTTGACAACAGCAAATAATTTAAAATTAATTCCTTATGCCTAGTTCATTAATTGAAAAGATCTTTAAAACACAGCTTATCCAGCTGAGCACTATTTCAAACACAGCAGAATGGTAAGTGTGCTTAGTTCCACTGATTGTGAAGTGCTGTCCTAATCATACTTATTACAAAATAAGTCCTCTTGAATGTACAGGGCCTTTTTTCAGGCTAAACATAATTAGAATTGCACTCTGTGTGCACTTAGCTCTCATTTGGACCAAATATTTGCTATTGTTGAACTGGTAGACTTTTTAGTCAGAACAGAAGTAGAGGGAACAATCCATTATTTTTATTTTTTTCGAAATGTGAAAAGATTATGGTAACATTCAGAAACACTACATAAAATTAATGTAAGAAATATAGTTTTTATTGTTTCCCAATTGATTCCCAGCCTTCTCTGTATTTTTGTATCTGTAAGCAGTCTTAGGAAACCAACTTTATGAGAAGAAGATGGATTTATATTCTGGATGTTCCAAAGAAACCAAACCAAACCAAAAATCCAGAAGAGGCTGCCGGAAGAATTGATGGAAGCCTGGAGCAAGTGTCATGTGAGAAACCTTGACACTGCTCCATGAAAAAATCCATGTTTGGACAGTTTGTTTAGGACCTGAGGCAGAGGTCTTTATGCTTTGCTGGATAATTTGCCTCAGGTGCCCACCCATACTGGAAAATCTTAAAGTAAGATATTATTACACTTACAGTAGATTTTTCTGTAGCTTTGAACAAAGCTATTTATGGGATTCTGAGAGCCGTTATCTGCAAAAGTAACTATTTGAAGCTCAGAATTTTTCACATCACAAAATCAGTTCTAAGGGGCACCAAGGTGAAGCCATCTGAGTTCATCTTTATGAAGCAAAAGTTCCATAGGCCCTTTAATAAGATGTTATCATTGCCAACCTGGCAGAGTTTCCTGCTGTCGCAGTGCCATAAATTTAAAAGGGAATTATGCAGCAGACCTGTTAAGAGTTCAGCCTTCATGCAGAGTAATGAATATGCTTATAAAGCTGTGTTACAGTCATGTAAAAAATACATCTTTACAGAGGTAGCCCAACCAAAGAGACCACCTACTAGAACACATCTGCTCTGTGCTCACATAAGTTGTGTTATGTGAAAAGAGAATAGCTTTAAATAAGATGAAAGATGTTTGTTTATTCATCTTGACGTGTTTTCAACACAGCTCTTTGGAGGAAAAAGGTCATCTGTGGTCTGCTGAAATAGTTTTGTCTTAATTAGATAAATCAATTTACTTGAAAGAACTGAAACCTCGAGTTTTTAATTTCTGCTAAAATTATCTTTATGCTATGAAGTAGAGGTACAGAGGAAAATAGGTATAAGTTCCCTAGAGTCCACCCCTTTCTCATTATCTGAAACTTAAAGTCTCAATAACTCCCTCTAAGACTTGTAGAAGAAAGAATTAAAAACATTTATTTACTTACAGTTGCCTGAAATCATAGGCTTGTGTATACAGCTTTCTTTACTGCACGAATACTAGCAATTAACCAAATAAATCAACAGTAACAAACAACTGCCACCAGCCAATGAAAGAGAGGTATAGAACACTCAGCAGAGAAGTAGGGTTCTCTTTGAATTTCAAAAGCTGGAACAATTGCTTAGTACTGGATAGATGGATAATCACTCCAGGCCAGAAAAGTCCCTCCCAGTCACTCAAACTATAGCCAACATGCGAAGTTGCAAATAAAACTCCAACACCCTTCTCAAACTCACATGCAGCCACCCTCTTGAAGTCCATCCTCCTATGCAAGTTGTCAAAGTGGTATCTCAGAAGTCTGCTGTCACCTTTGTGGTGGGACAATAAATCCTTTTGATGACACCTTTCTTGGTCAGATTACACACAAGGTGGCATCTTGTAGGGATGCATTTGGTATCTACATTCATTTTCTCACTTTGTGATAGCTTGATGCAGTTCTGATTGTCTTCCATCATCTCAAGTGACATTTTGTCATTTATTCCAAAGTCGTTCAGCAGTTTCTTCAGCCATAGCAGCAGTGAATTCTTACTCTGTGGAAGACAAAACTACAACATCTTGTTTGCGACTAAGGCCATCACCATACACAGGAAACAGGAAAACAACAGTGGACTTATGATATGTACTATCCTCTGCCCACTCTATATCAGTGTACCCTACCAACTTTGGATTTTTGCTAGCTGGCAGTTTTAACTTGAAGCCCATGGTCCCTTTCAAATGTCTTGCTACTCTTTCTACAGCTGTCCATGTACTTTTTGTTAGCAAACTAACTTTTCTGCTTAATATTCCTACAGCGGTAGCTATATCCAGTCTGATGGCAGTTGTGAGTTAGAAAAGCTCACCTGTGACTGTTCTGTATTTTGTATTATTTGGAGAAGGTTCACTTTCCTCCTTGTTTTTCCTCTTGGAACACTGGGCATCTTGGAGACTTAGTGCTTCCAGAGGCTCTTCTGTTTCTGATTTAGCAAATACGACTCATCTGTCTCCTTTTCAATTTCACTGCCCAAATAATATGTTACATCTCTTAACTCTTCTGCTTCTTTGTTAATATGACATACAATCTCTTTGTACTCCTGTTTCCTTTCAGACAGTTGAGTCATCTACATTTGCTTCTGCTTCTGGTATACAGGAATTGATCTACATCACCTTGCTTGTAGCCTTGTTGCAGTAAAAATTTCTTCTGTTTCTCATTTCAAATCTGGGCAGCTTGCTTCAGTCCAGACAGGTCTTTCTTTACTTTCATACAAAACCAGGCTGTTTCTTGTTGATGAAACCAAGTGGATGCTCTGTAAGCAGCCCCTCTGCAATCTCTCCATGTAGAAATGTTGTCTTGAGGTCTAGGTGCTTTCTTTCTGGAGGCTAACTGAAGTATTCTCCATATTTCTGTAGGAACCCTTTTGCAGCTAGTCTTGCCTTGTAGTGTCCTACTTCTCCATTTGCACCTTGTATTATCTTTAGCACCCACTTGCACCTGATGACTTTCTTGCCTGGTGGTAGCTTTGTCAGTGTCCGAGTCTCATTCTTTTGCAGTACATCTATCTCTTCCTTTGCAGCTTTTCTTCATCTGGTGGCTTCAGCTGCAGGCATCTGCTCAATCTTCTCCCATGTCACTGGCTCATTTCTCTGCAGTGATCTTTCAAGGTAGGACAGGTGCTGGTATACCTTTGTTGGGTCATGACAAACATTTGATGGCTGATTCTGGAAGATGCCTCTTCCAATTCAACAACCATGACATCTCCATCTGTGTCCCATTCTCCTGGTGTACTGCTCTTGGTTTGTGTTTCATTACCCTCCTGCTTCATATCTGGCTCAAGTTGGGGAAAGATTGGCACAGCTTTATCTAGGAAAGGCCCAACATATTGGTCTTCTGTTTCTTTTTTGTCAGCTTTCTTTCATTCATCAAAATGAACCACGTGTCTTATACTGACTTCATCTGTCTTTAACACCAGGCCTTTATAGCCTCTGCTGCCAGGAGCACAGCCAAGTAAAATAGTCTCTTCAGTTCTAGAGTCCAGTTTATGCCTTTTCTGTCTTGGTATATAAGCTTATGCCAAGCTTTGAAAACTGATATGACCTTTGCTTGGTACTCTGTCATGCCATCACTCACATTGTGTTTTTGCACCTTTGTTTGGCAATCTGTTCTGGAGAGATGTTGCTGTCTTGATTGCATCACTCCAAATTTTGCCGGGCACCTTTGCATCTGCAAGCATGCATCTGGTCATCTCCAAAAGAGATTGCAGCTTTCTTTCAGCTTTTCCATTCTGCTGAGGAGTGTTAATAGGACAGTTCTCCTGTGCAAAATGCCTTATTCCTCTAGAAAAAACTTATGTGTGCTGCACAATGTACTCACCACCATTATCCATCAGGAGTGCCTTACATTTTCTTTCAAATGTGTTGCTCACCGTGGCCATATAGTTCTTCACTATATCATGTGTCTCACACTTCTCCTTCACAAATATTAAAATACTGTATATCTACTATGTCCCAGTGATGGTATATTGAGTGGCCCACACAAGTCACTGTGAATCATCCAACACCCTGGTGCCTCTTCTCTCAATCTTTGGCAGGAATGAGGGCTTAACATTCTTTTCTGTGATACAGCATTTATGTGTGAAGCAAAGGTGCCATGGCAGCATACTGTAGCCATCTCCTCTAGGAGTTTGCTTTGTGTTGATCATTTGCCGTTCATTTAAAAACTCAGTGTATAGCTACTATTAGAGTTAATTGCTTGAAAAATATATTTCACCATATTTAATTTCTTTCTTTCTTTGTATTACAGCATTGCACAATTTAATTTGCACATATTTCATTATTGTACACTGCCTGTATAGAAAAGCCTTTATCATCTAAAGCAGATGCATGTAACATGTTGCACTGTAGTTCAGGAACACATCACCTATAGTATTCTCACTTATTTCATCAGGCAGTTAATATTGCAAAATGCCAGCCCCTTTTCTGTCAGTTTTCTTGGAATCACCATTAGCAACTTGAATATTTCCAATGGATCTTTCATCTAGATTTATTTTAAAAAATTTGATGTGTACAATGATTAATGCTCCCTGATCCAGTAATTTGATTTCTTATCCACAATTATGGGCTATGCGTGTTTTCTGTTTGAATTCCTTTCCATCCTTTCCTTCCATACTAGCAATCAAATGAAAAGGTCAACATGAACAAAGAACTATCACCAACTGACAAAAAGAAGGATAGAGCAGTCAGGAGACAATCTCTTTGGATTTCAAAAGCTGGAAGGAATAATTGGTTAGAGCTGTATAGATAAACCATCACTTCAACCTAGAAAAGTCTCTCCCAATCACATGAAGTACAGACTGCATGCAAGGTTGCAAATATGGCTCCAACAGTTTATCTGTCTTGGTGTCTTTTTATTACAGCTCTTTCTTTTGGTGGAAAAAGGTCATCTGTGGTCTCTTGAACCAGTTTTGTCTCCGTGAAATAAATCAATTTAGTTGAAAGAACTGAAACTTCATATTATGGACATAGGGTGATGACAGCACCCCTTAATTAGTTTCCCCAGATCAAGTTGCTGCTAGAAGCATTAGAGCTTTTGCTTCAGGGAGAAAATCATGAAGACTTATCTACAGAGAATCTTATGTACTGGTTGACAATAGTTTACAAGATACAGTGATGTATTGTACTGGATGACAATGCCCTTGAAGGATTTCAAGGTCCTTGAAAAATACTGTGTATTGTCACTATGTTCTTAAAAATCCTTCTCCCTTTTCTTAACTTCACTGAGATTTTCTTCCTCATGTTATAGCAGAATCATATTGTTACCTCATGTGTCTTATGTCCTAATCCTTAACATTCACTGAATTATATGCTTTTCAGCTGAAGTGAAATTACCCCTAGAGGGAATATTTATTTATTTATTTATTTGATTTATATCCCGCCCATCTGGTATATTCTACCACTCTGGGCGAAGCGCTCTGATATTTCCCTATCAGAACGGTTCGCAAGTTGAAATGTTCGTAAATAGGGCTGTTCGTAAGTCAAGGGTTGACTGTAGGTCCAACTAGTGGCGGAGCCACTACTCTTTGCAGCAAACAAATCATAATAAGACTATACAAAACTCCCTAATAACACCCACATAATTAGTAGACATGAAGCATAATAAGAAAAGATAAAATATTTAGTAAAAATTAAAGACTATGGAATATTGAAAATATTAAATACAATAACATTGGGCAGCGAAAGCAGGGCAGGTACATGAATAAAGAGAGGGAAAGCCCCATAAATCAGCAAGGTTACTTTGCGGTAAGGCCATAGAAGGCTTGTGAGAAAAGCCAGGTTTTAACTTGTCTCCTGAAACCAAGGAGGGATGGGGCTAATTGAACCTCGGGTGGGAGCGAGTTCCAAAGTGATGGAGCAACCCCTGAGAAGGCCTGGTTTCAAGTGGCAGATTTTCAGGCCTCTGTCAGGGTCACCACCCACAACATCTCGTGACATCCCAGTGTATGAGGTACAGGTGGGACACATAGACATTTTGAGGGAAAAGTACCACCTTGAGGGAGGTGGCAAGGTCCTAAACTGTTAAGGGCTTTAAATTATCAACATGGAGAACATTGCCAACCACTGAGAAGGCCTGGTTTCAAGTGGCAAATTTTCAGGCCTCTGTCAGGGTCACCACCCACAACATCTCGTGACATCCCAGTGTATGAGGTACAGGTGGGACACATAGACATTTTGAGGGAAAAGTACCACCTTGAGGGAGGTGGCAAGGTCCTAAACTGTTAAGGGCTTTAAATTATCAACATGGAGAACATTGCAACAGTCTGTTCTCAAGATTACCAGCACATAGACCAGTGTTGTTAGGGACTTCCCGTCAAGATAGGGGCGAAGATGTGCGATCTGCCTCAGATGGTAAAAGGCAGACCCGGCCATGGCTGAGATCTGAATTTCTAGAAGCACTCCCAGATTATAAACCTGATCTTTCTGGGGGGAAACGATCCATCAAGACCAGGTAAACAGCTGCATAATTGGACTAAATGAGTTATAACAGGTACATTGACAACTTTCTGCAACCAGATTTTCAAGTTTTAAAGAACTGATTTTTGATGGAGAGGCAGGTTGAGAAAAACTATGCAAATTTTAATAGTCTGTGCCCTTTTCCACAATTGGACTTACTACCAGAATACACCCAATGCTGTCTGAAACCATTTTGCTGTCTGAAGTGAAGCACCAAGTGCTGCCCCATCCTGTTCTAGGGCAAACACTTTAAGATTGCAATCCTCCTATTTCTTGATCTTTTACCATTCCAGTTGTGCTCGCTTGGATGTGTTGCTACATGTCAATACCCTTCTTAAAAGTTAAATGAAGCTGGGCTATATTGCTACATAAAATGGCTTTCATAACCCCAGAAAGTAAAAGGAAACAACCTGATGTTTTCCTAAAGTTAACAAAATGAAAATGTATAATGTAATAGGCATCAAATGCATTTTGAATATAAACCATTCTCCTCCAATTATGGTATAAAACTATTTTCTTTCCTTTTCTCACATATGGACATATGAAAAATAGAACATTGAAGTAAGAATCAGGGATGACATTACTGAAATTATTTCCCCCATCTCTTATTTTGCAGTAGGGCTAATATGAGTGTGTGGTGGTGGTGATGGTGGTGGCAAGTGCCTCTGATGTGCCTGTGACCTTGAATTTGTGCATGGACGAACAGAATGCAATTGGGTTAGATTAAGATTTTATTTTTAATAAAGGCTGTATACTAATTGTGATTTTGGCAGGATGTGGGTTACTTCTGTATTTTGAACTTTGCTGGCTTTAACAAAAGGAAAAAAGAATTGTGAGGATAGTGGTAACAATGAGAGAATTAAGAAAGGGAGCAAAGTAAAGAATGTAAGAGTGCAGTCCTATACAGGTATATGTCAACTCAGAAGATGTGCACTTAATTTGGTGGAAAGATAGGATAAAAATGTAAAAAACAAATTAAACAAAGTACTTCAATTGGATCCATTCCCTAAGGTATGAGTGCATGAGATGGGCGTACATTCATGCACACACATAAGAGGCCCTCAGTTGCCCACCCAATGTCAAAAGCTACACATCCCTGCCTATAGAATGGCAGCCTGAGGCCTAGGCATGGACATAACAAGTTTCACAAACAAAGCTATCATGCCTCCCCACCCCTGCTTTCTGGAGGAGGGAAAAAAGAGTTTTAAAGATAAAGAATGAAAGTGAGAGAAGATGGATCCATAGAAACGTAGATTCTATGTCCTCATAGGTTGGATTTGGGCATATATGACTGAATTGTACAAATAATA